ACCCAAACACACTTTTAGGCTTTTACAGCAGCCTGCCTTCAGTTTGTCAAAATGTTACTTTTCTGGTGATTTTAGAAAATGATTGTGTAAAAAATAAACTACTAGAACAAAAGTAAAACTGCCTTTAAACTCAATTTAAAAGCTAAGTCCACATTTTGCTTATCTTCCTCCTAACAAAATATGAAGCTGTACACAAAGCATGTCTACATATTACTGATCACACAAGCAGCACAACATTCACTGTTTGTTCCTGCAAATACTGCAAAATAAAAAAATAAAAAATGAACATCTAACCTGCTACAAYTACTGTTTTCTGTTGCCAGATCAAAACGAAAACGTCTCCCGTTCATGTTTTGTTTGGTTACAGTTAGAAGGAGCCACTTCTGGAGCTGCAGGCTGCAAACCTCTGCACTAAACACTCCTAAAGTTTTAAACAACAACCCACACAAGTCTGTAGAAGAATTACCTGCTTAAGTTGCATAAATACTTTTACAAGTCGGTTGTTTCTCCTCCAGGTTTGGCAGAATCAAAACCTTTGTGTTCAGTACTTTAGTCTTATTTGGTACACTTTTATTATTGATGTAGGCCTAYAGGTTAACTGTTTATGTTTGACGTGTCCAGCTGTGGTAAATTAAACCAGATATTCCATCTTAACTGCACAGTCATTAAACACTTTCCTCTTTACTCAGCAGTTTTGCTCAAACGTGCACATATGAATCAGTTGGGGGGAGGGAACGGTGGGAGATGAGGGGATCAAGATGTTTGAAGAGCAGGACTGATTGTTGCATCAAGCAGCTGAAGGTGAAAGGGTTATATTCAACCAGACGATGCAGAACTTTAAAGGATGCTGGGTCTTTACTCAGTGAATAACTGAACTCTAACAGCTGTGGCTGTAAACTGTCGGTGGTCACGCGTGTGCAGATCTGTGTGTCATACATACAAGCTGGCTCTGAGCGAAGCCCTGTCTGAGGAAGATACAAGCAGGCCCCACTATGTTGTGCAGCATGTTGCAGTTCTTAACCAGGGTGCACAGGGGGTCATCGAATGGACGGCTGCTCCCTCCTTCCTCCTCCTCCTCMTCCTCTGTGTCAAGCTCCCCTGCACCACCCAGGGACCCCAGCATGGCCGTGGCCAATGGGGCCCCGCCTTGGTTCACAGGTGACGTCCCCTTGGATGGAAGGAACGAGTGTGTTTATGAAACATAATCTGATTAACAAGCTGAGGTATTGTTCTGCCTCATTCTGTGAAATGCAACTAAAACCTGAACACAAGGATTTGCAAAGTTCAGGAATCCGTATTTTATAATTGATGGAYGTAGTAAAAATAAAAACTTGTGTCACTTTTAAAAGAACTTGGGACAAGTTCATGTTTCCCTCTGAAATAACTTAATTCATTAYGAAATGATGTTTCTTATTTGGCTGCTGTCTCAAGATGTGCTGCAGCTATAAAATTCTATTTTTTTTTATTTTTTGTTCTAAGTTTCAACATCTGATAAGTTTACAGTTCCCCTGCCAATAAATATAAGTAGTTGTATAAAGTACCACAAAGTGATACTTGAGTAAAAGTACAAGTATCTTRCCAAAAAATTACTTTCTTAAAAGTTAAAGTCTCCTTTGGGAACATTACTTGAGTAAAAGTCTTAAAGTATCTGATATTTGTTGTACTCAAGTATTA